CAAAGATTTGGTGGATTATTCATGGAGAAATCAAAGAAACAAGAAACCAAAACCCTTGCCCCCTTCCATAGCTGCAGCTCGGCCAAAGGAGAGAGAAGAGAGAGTTTTTCTTTGAGTGAATAGTGATCACTTAAGTCACTTATGTTTTATAAGCACATGTGGCTTTTAACCGGGTATTTTTCTTTCGCGCATTTTAACTTAAACTGACCCGGAACTAACTTAAAGCTACGGACATATTTTTATTTTTCTAAACTCATTTACATTAATTTTTATTTCCTAAGGAACAATATTCATAATTCACAGTATGGTCTCTGCACCGTTTTTAACGAAGTGCACTGTGAACCACTAATTGTACTTCGTTTACTTCTGAACTTAAGACTTATAAACTTATAATTTTCTTGGGCCTATATTGACTTTCTTGGCATATATTGGACTTTCTTATTCTTATTTCATCAATTATTTGTTTCTGGACTCTACCGGTTGCTTAAACAGCGGTACAAAATACCCGGCAGAAAATACTATTCACGAGATTTTCACGAAAAGTTCTAGACTATACAATTTTTTGTTCTGAACTCATAAATGGAGTCAGAATTTTCAAATTATGTCTCTAAAATCATTTTACTCATTTTAGCTCTACCGGTTAATTCACAAGACTGCAAATTCTCCGGCAGAATGCACTGTTCATAACCTAGTCATGATTACAGTCAAAATACTCGAAATCACTCACTGTATCTAATTATGGCACTTAAATCTTTAAGTTAAACCTCTAATTAAGATTTACCGTTTAGGGTCATTATACATCTCCTGTAATATTGGTAAAGAAAAAAGATGGATCATGGAGAATGTGCGTAGACTATCGGGCCCTGAACAAAATCACTGTGAAAGATAAATTCCCAATACCAGTGATAGATGAACTCCTAGATGAGCTTCACGGCGCAAGATTTTTCTCTAAGCTGGATCTTCGGTCAGGCTACTATCAAATAAGAATGCAACCTGAAGATATTGAGAAGACCGCCTTTCGTACGCTCCATGGTCACTACGAGTATTTGGTCATGCCGTTTGGGCTTACAAATGCACCCTCAACATTCCAGTCATTAATGAATGAGGTATTTAAAGATTATCTCAGAAAATTTGAACTTGTGTTTTTTGATGATATTCTCGTGTATAGTCGGAGTTGGGAGGACCACCTCAATCATTTACAAATTGTTCTGGAGACCTTGAGGAAGCAGAAACTGTACATAAAGATGGAGAAATGTGAGTTTGGCAAGAGGCAAATAAGCTACTTGGGACATGTCATTTCAGAAGATGGTGTGTCAGTAGATCCTGAAAAAATTAAGTCTATTATGGATTGGCCAAAACCTGATACACCCAAAGCAATGTGTGGATTCCTTGGTATTTGTGGGTACTACCGAAAATTTATCCAGCATTTTGGTAGTGTGGCAAGACCCTTGACAAATATGATAAAAAAAATTCATTTACTTGGACACCTGCTGCAGAAGAAGCCTTTGTTAAGCTGAAGCATGCTATGACCCAAGCTCCTATACTCGGCCTCCCAGATTTTTCAAAGGTCTTCGTGATCGAATGTGATGCTAGTGGAAGTGGGGTTGGTGCTGTGTTGCTACAAGAGAGACCTATTGCATATTTCAGCTATGCTTTACAAGGTAAACACCTTCTTTTATCAACTTATGAGAAAGAAATTTTTGCTTTGGTTTTGGCTGTGCAGAAATGGAGGCCATACCTTCTTGGAAGAAAATTTATTGTTCGAACTGATCACCAAGCCTTGAAGCACTTGTGGTCACAGAAAATTACAATTGTGGCTCAACAAGAATGGCTCTTCAAGTTGATGGGCTTTGATTTCATCATTGAGTACAAAAAAGGGCGTGAAAATAAAGTGGCTGACGCTTTATCTAGGCAGCATGAAGATTTTGTAGCTGTGAATGCAATTTCATGCCCTGTTCCTAAGTTTTTGGATGCTGTTAAAGAAGAAGTGCAAACAAAAGAGGAGCTGCAAAAAATAATTGAGTTGATTATGCAAGGAGAAGCCGTAGGGCCATGGCAGTACAGGGAAGGTGTAATTTTTTTTAAGAACCACATTTACTTGGCAGTTGATTCTGATCTTATTCAGGATATTTTGGCCCAATTCCATGACAGCACTCATGAGGGGTATTTTAAGACACTTCAAAGGCTGAGATTAAATTTCTATTGGAAGGGATTAAGAAGAGATCTCAAGCGCTAGATAAGAGAATGTGAGACATGCCAGAGAAATAAGGTTGATCTATCCCTTCCCGCTGGTCTTCTTCAACCTCTTCCAGTACCTACACAAGTATGGGAAGATCTTTCTATGGATTTCGTAGAAGGTTTACCCAATTCAGGTGGGAAGACCACAATATATGTAGTGGTTGATCGGTTCTCCAAGTATTCGCATTTCATGGCAATTGCTCATCCCTATTCGGCTGTAAGGATAGCCAAGATTTTTTTTGATAACATCTTTAGATTATATGGAATGCTAAAAACTATTGTGTGTGACCGAGATGTAACCTTTCAAAGTTCCTTTTGGAAGGAGTTATTTTCTTTAAATGGTACTAAGTTCAACTTCAGTTCAGCCTACCATACACAAAAGGATGGGCAAACAGAGGTGGTTAATCGAACTCTTGAAATGTATTTAAGGTGTCTCACAGGGCTGCAGCCAAGGGAGTGGTCCAAATGGCTTACTTGGGTAGAGTATTGTTATAATACTAGCATCCATTCTGCTCATGGAAGGTCCCCTTACGAAATTGTATATGGAAAATTACCTCCTACCTTGCTAACATATGTTCCAGGTACAGCCAAGGTTGCAGGAGTGGAGGAAGAACTCATAGCTCGAGATAATGTCCTTAAAGAAGCCAAAGAAAAGCTGCTGCAGGCACAATGTAGAATGAAGAAAATTTATGATGGGAAGCACAAGGAAAGAGAATTCCAAGTGGGAGATGTTGTGTATCTAAAATTACAGCCTTATAGACAACTGTCTATTGCAAGAAGAAGAAATATGAAGCTGGCTGCAAGGTTTTATGGGCCCTACAAGATTGTGCAGCGCATTGGTAAGGTAGCTTATAAACTAGAGCTGCCTTCAGATGCAAGGATACATAATGTTTTCCATGTTTCATTACTCAAGAAGCATGTAGAGAAGGAGACCCAAGTGCAAACTCAATTGCCAACAATGGATAAAAGTGGACAGCAATTGTTGTCCCAACCTGCTGCAATTTTGGAGTATCGAGAACAGAAGGGAAAGAAACAAGTATTGGTTCATTGGCAAGGACTGTCCCCAGCTAAAGCAACATGGGAGAATTTGGAATTTTTGTAGGTTCAATTTCTTGATCTTACTCTTGACGACAAGAGTTTCATTTAAGGGAGGGAAGATATGTTACAACCACAAAATCCTCCTATAGTGATGGCTACTAGAAGAAACGTTGCTGCTGTTATGATTTTATTATTTTTGCGGTTATGATTTTATTATTTTACCGTTATGTTATTTTATCTTGTTATTTGAGTTGCTAAAGATTAGGCCATTAGTTGTTAGTGGAGCCTAACTTTAAGGTACTGGTTATTTTTTTGTTTTACTGGTTGTTTGGTGTTGTCTATTTAAACTTGTAGTCAAGAAATAAAGCCATCGTGAATTTTATCCAAGAAATATTGCACTTGAGCAAAGAGGTCAAGCTTCTTCAGTAAAGCTATCTCATTTAATGTTATCATCCTGTTAGTTGCTATTATTCCAGATTTGCAACTTTCTTGTGAAAATAGGTAAAAAGAGTCAAGGTAGACCCCTGTACGTACCATCATGGCTCTACTATTGGTCCGATCTCGTATGAGTTCTTGAAGGACAAAATCGATAGGAAGACTAATATTATATAGGGTTTAGTGTTTTCGTTTTTGGTGCAGAAAAAAACTTTTGTTATACCCACATAAAAGTAAAAAGGTTTCACTAATTTTTATTTTCTCTCTTTTACAATGGAACTCACTTTTATAAGAGTGTGACTGAAACATTTTTTCTTATTATATGTTAAGAGTGGTCAAGATCATTTTTATTTTCTTTATACTAACTCTAACTATTTCTTTGAGCCTAATAGATTTCCTGAGTATCCCCACTAGCTTCAGCTTTTTTGAGTCGGCTATGATTTATGAGATTAATCCCGAATGCGGGACGTGTCAAAAATTAAGGGCGTGTTTGATGTGATGTATAAGGCCTGATAATATAAGCTTATACTATAAGTTACAACATTTTTAGTTGTTTGGTGTGACCATCGTATAGTATAAGCTTATACAGCAAGATCCATTTACACATCAAAATGATGTATAACTTAATCAAGCCTAAGAGGGTAGAATTAAGCCTGATAAGGGGTTAATGTATTAACCAATATAATTATCAAGAATTAATATATTATTTTAATATTAGTATATTAAAATAAAAATAATTTTTCAATATGTAATTTTGTAAAATATTGGAGATTTTTATTTTTATAAAATTAATATATTTTTTGGACACATTGATCAACATATTTCTATAAAAAATAATATCATATGATATATTTGGAAGAATTATGTAAATTTATTATTAAAAGGTATTTTGACAAAAATATTTATTTTTAACCTATATACTATATAGTATTATACAGTGTATTACCAAATATTGAATGATATTATCTTATACAATATCATGTCAAACGTCAGATAAAATTAAAATTTAATCAAATCTATATACAAATCATACCTTATACTATCAGTTTTTATCCTATACTATGTATCAAACATTCTCTAGTCCCTTTTCAAAATGACATTATTGGAATTGAACCAAGGTCTTTTCTCATTCATCCAGCTACCTTGCATATTATTAAAGACTAGAATTAAGACTTATTGTTGTCGTTATATTTAAGCATTATATAATTAATAAATATTATCGAAATTAAGTTTACCATTTAAAAGTAGTATCGACGTGCTTTCCAATTTGGTACACAGACACAGCACAATCTCTCTATCTATGTATGTATAGTTGCAGGGTCGTTCAGAATCTCCACTATCTCCCCTCTCTTCTTCCTCTCAAAATCCCTTAATCGAAGACTCTCTCTCTCAAACACAACCACATCACAAACCAATGGAGAAGCACCTCTTGAAGGATTTCGAGCTCGACCCCAAGAATCCCTCCGTCGAAGCTCTGCAGCGATGGAGATCCGCCGTTACTCTGGTCAAAAACCGCCGCAGACGCTTCCGTATGGTCGCCGATCTCGATAAGCGATCCCAGGCAGAGCAGATTAAGCAAGGAATCAAGGTTTTTTTTTTTTTTTTTTCATTCTTCCTCTTTTCATTATTTGCGTACGTGTTAGTTTCCTCTTTTTTTTTCTCTTTTGAAATCGTAGAAACTTCTTATAGCTAGCTTTAACTGCCATAGAGATGAAGTTCGAGAAAGTTCCGACGAAAAAATAATAATATAAAAATTGCGAAGTTAACGACGAAAGGTGCTCATAATTACTCATCAAAAGTAAAATCCACTTTCTGATTGGAAAGAAAAAGAAAACAAAAAGATGGAATCAATTAAACTAATACAGAGATTAAAAAAACTTTCGTTATTGTTGTAATTTGGTTTTCTGGTGGTCCAATCTTGAGAGAGGTAGGGTTTATTGGGTTCGCCAATAGCGAATGTCTGAAAAAATGGAAATGAATTTCTGGTTATGGTGTCTGTGCACTTTGCAGGGAAGGTATTAAATTTTTATTAGAAATGATTAAAATTTCAAATAAAAAGTCAAATATATTTAATCTGCAATAAATTTTCACGTCAGTATTCTTCTCCTTTTCTGGGAAAGGCGAAAACCCTTTGGGAAAGAAAATATTGTTTACGGAAAAGTTATACTTACGACTTATTTTCGTTTACAATTCTTATAATTATATCTTAATTATTAATTTTCATCAATTAACGGTTGAGATTTTCACAAATCAAATTAATTAATTAATTATTAATTCACAATAAATAAAAACCGTTGATTGACGGAAATCAACGGTTAAGATATGATTGTAAGAGTTTATAAATTATTTGGATTGTAAATATAACCCTTGAGGATAACATCTGTTTTAAAGCATATAAGTTTATATCATTTTATATTCTAATAATTAATTTTTGTCATCAACTGTCATAATTTATTGAATCAAAATTATTAATTAATTAATAATAAATTTGACACATTAAGTTTGATCCAAAAGATTATATCCGTTGATGGATGGAAATCAACGATTAGAATATATGATGATATAAGTTTATTTTCTTTGAAAGGATAGATATTTTTCTCAATTAATAATTCAAAAATGTTACTCATACTTTTAAAAGTGTTTATAGAAAAAGTTAATAATTTTTTGTAATTGTTAATAAAAATAATGATATTAGAACGTGTTTTCTTAAATAATATTTCGGCGTCCCGATCGAGATAAACGGTATTTAATATTTCTATAAATGGAAATTGAAATGCATTGTGCGTTTCGAGGTCAAGGTCTTCCACCGGCCATTTTTGTCTCTCGTGTGATAAGGTGAGGGAAAGTTGGGAAATCATCTCGACACTCACGCACCACTGAATGGAAAAGATCTAATATACCACGGTAGTATACTAGTATTTATATCCTACCAATAAAAACGTAACACTTGCGAATATGTTTTTTGAAAATAATTTTTATTTTAATATTATGCCTATATATTTTAGAAAATATATAGTCTATAATTTTTTGAATAAAAGTTATATCCACTACTCATTACGACTGTAATACTTTTAATGTTATGGATTCTCTTATATAAAAAAAATTATGATATAATCATGTGAAGAATTATAATCATACAAAACACATCAAAACGACGTAGTTTCATTAAAAATAACATAATTTTATATCATTCAAAAATATATTGACATTAATACTGAAATTAGGAAAATTATTAATTTTACATAAAATGAGTTGTCTTTGATAATATATATTTGTTTTCCTTTTTTTGTGGTCTAAATAAAATTTGAGCACATTTAGGATTTACATTATGTTTAGAATTGTTTCAATTCAGAAATTGGAATTAATTTATGTAAAATGTAGTGATTTACAAGTCTTATAAACATATCAAGATTTATGCATAATGACATGTTGTGTACAATATAATTTATAAACAAGTGAAAATTATGAATTGGCATTGTCTACAAAAGTCTTATGCAATAATTTTAGTGAATCTAAATGCTTATTTTAAAATAAATAGACAATTCCTGAAAAATATAGTCTTTCTATTTGTTCTTTGTGAAACATAAAAATTATGTATTTGATTTTTTTATTTTTTATTTTTGCTAAAAAGAATGGTGTTTGTTTGTAAGGACAATAGTTAAAACCGTATGAATTTGTAAGGAAACGTTATTTTTTTTTAAAGCTCTTAGCATGAAATAATTTAAATTAATGTAATTAAATTTAACATGGATTTAATTGTAGTGTATTTGTTGTAGGTTTGACTTTTAATGACATCCAAAGCTGAGATTATTTCATAATATAATACCTCAATTATAGAAAGTAAACATTTTTAGTATTTAATTTTATTCAACGTAGTGATACGGCAACCATGGAAACTTCCTCGAAATTTCCTTAGCAAAAGGACACATGCGAACCTAGTTGGATAAGGACATCATAATAAAATCGATAGATAGCAACAACCTATGAAGCACCGACACTTCAAAAATCCTGACGTGTCGTGTCCGACACTTCCCGACACTCTCGGACACTCCGACACTCCTCGACACTCCAACAGGCATTATAGAAATTCAAAAAAAAGTTCAAAGGTTAAGTTGCGTTGAGTTTTTAGTTCTAACTATTAAATTCGTTGGATTACGATTACCATTTTATTGAGTTTAATATAAATATTTGGGATATCTTATGTTTCTTTACAAAATTTATGAATATTAGAAGTTTAGATACATTTTTTTGTTAAATTATTGAATATTAAATATAATATATACTACATAAATTAAAAATATTATTTAATATCAAAACGTGTCCTAACGTGTCGAAATCTAACACTTTTTAGAATTAACGTGTCGGAGTGTCGTGTCGTATCGTGTCAGGTGTCCCGTGTCAGTATCCGTGCTACATAGGCAACAACAATCAGACAACGAGAGAAATAGTGGGAAATAAAAAAAGATAAATTGGTTTATATTTAGCAACCTTTTAAATTGAGATGTGTTTGCTTTCGCTTAGATGTCATGCTCGTGCAGTTTTCTATTACGTAGAGATAACATAAACTCCTCTTGAATTGTCTTCTTTTTCTTTTTCTTTTACCTTTTTGTGGTCTTGAATTGACGATGACTTCAAACGCGGCTTAGACGCGTCCGGTTGAGTGTTCGAACGGATCAAAGCGTCGGCGACATTTGAAAGTTACACTTGCGTTGATTTAGCATGTAAAGTGGTGCTGAAATTTCTGTTGCGGCCCTGATTTCAATAATGGCGGATTTTTGTTGACGAAGTTAATATTTAATGTAAAAGGGTCTTGAACTACAGGGAAAATGAGGGTTTTGTCTGAAGCCTTGACCTGTTCATTGATTATAATTGTTTGATTCTCACACATTTATCTTGAAAACCAGCAACTGGGTACAGTGCCAACACTAGTATAATCTAAAGCTCCTACCTGTGTAAAGCACCTTAAATACAAGGATAAGGAAAATGTAACTCGGAAAATAAATGCCAACTCTATTACACTGCAGTTGTCTTACAAGTTTTTTTTTTTTTAGTTTAAATTTAACCCTGTAAAGTTTTTTGTATTAGTATTCAATTATACTTTAAAACCTAATTAAAGGAGGTTTTATTTCTCCCATCGAAAAATAACCTTCACTCCGGCATTATTAATAACCATTCCTTGTAATATTCAAGTGAAATATGTAACTAGTAATAGGCAATTGATGACTTTCATTTTTTCCTTTACCGGTTATCTAACTTGCATGCTCCAAGTAGTTATGATTCATAAAAATGGGAAATATTAACATATTTGATCTTAAATTCTAACAAATATTTTCTTCAAAGAATTCTCCTTAACGTTTTCATAGTTCAATTTGAGAATTGATTTTATGAAATACCTCTTCATGTGACAAGATACGGGATAATGTGTTCTGACTTACAATAACTATCGTTATGTATATTATCAATTTGTCATTACCAGTTTGGCTATATTATCTTTATTTACTCCATCAGGAAAAAATTCGGATTGCTCTCTATGTTCAAAAGGCAGCATTGCAATTTATTGATGGTATGGCGCTCAAATTTCAACTGTCAAAGCTCATATCATTACTTTAGAACTAATCACTTTCTCTTAATATGTTTTCTTAGCTCATTTGTTTTTGTTATGTAGCTGGTAATCGAGTTGAATACAAGCCATCAGAAGAGGCAAGAGAAGCCGGTTTTGGTATTCATCCAGATGATATTGCTTCTATTGTTCGTAGCCATGATTATAAGAACTTAAACAATATTGGTGGAGTTGAAGCCATTGCAAGGAAACTGACAGTCTCTGTGGATGGAGGTGTCAGTGAAGAGAGTATAAATCGAAGACAACAGATTTATGGGGTCAACCGTTATACGGAGAAACCGTCTAGAACGTTCCTGATGTTTGTGTGGGATGCAATGCAGGACTTAACTCTGATTATTCTCATGGTTTGTGCAATAGTGTCTATAGGTGTAGGGATTGCCACTGAAGGGTGGCCAAAGGGAACATATGATGGTGTGGGAATCATACTTAGTATATTCTTGGTAGTCATTGTTACTGCTGTCAGTGACTACAAGCAATCCCTGCAGTTCAGGGATTTGGACAAAGAGAAGAAAAAGATATTTGTTCAGGTCATCAGGGATGGGAAAAGACAGAAGATCTCAATTTATGATATAGTAGTTGGTGATATTGTTCATTTGTCAACTGGGGATCAAGTTCCAGCTGATGGGATTTATATATCAGGATACTTTTTGCTTATTGATGAATCAAGTTTGTCAGGTGAGAGCGAACCTGTAAATGCAAATGAAGAAAAGCCTTTTCTTCTCTCGGGAACCAAAGTTCAGGACGGTCAGGGGGTGATGTTAGTTACAGCTGTTGGCATGAGGACTGAATGGGGAAAATTGATGGAAACTCTAAATGAGGGAGGAGACGATGAGACCCCATTGCAGGTGAAATTGAATGGGGTTGCTACTATTATTGGTAAAATTGGTTTGGCTTTTGCCGTTCTGACGTTTTTGGTGTTGACAATAAGGTTTATGGTTGAAAAAGCGCTTAATGGTGAGTTTGGTAGTTGGTCTTCAAAGGATGCAATGAAGTTACTGGACTACTTTGCTATTGCTGTAACCATAATAGTTGTTGCGGTTCCTGAAGGATTACCACTGGCTGTGACACTCAGTCTTGCTTTTGCAATGAAAAAATTAATGAATGACAGGGCACTTGTGAGGCATCTTTCTGCTTGTGAAACTATGGGTTCAGCTAGTTGCATTTGCACAGATAAGACAGGGACATTGACCACTAACCGTATGGTAGTTAATAAAATTTGGATATGCGACAAAGCCACGCAGATGAAAGGTAATGAGACTGCAGACGAACTGAAAACAAAGATATCTGAAGGAGTTGTAAGCATCCTCTTGCAGGCTATATTTCAAAATACTTCTGCTGAAGTAGTTAAGGATAAAGATGGAAATAACACGACATTGGGAACCCCAACAGAATCAGCATTATTAGAATTTGGCTTGCTTTTTGGTGCTGATTTTGATGCCCAGCGTAGAGCATATAAGATACTACAGGTTGAGCCGTTCAATTCAGTCCGGAAGAAGATGTCTGTGCTTGTGGGTCTTCCTGATGGAGGGGTCCAAGCTTTCTGCAAAGGTGCATCAGAAATAGTATTAAAAATGTGTGACAAAATTATTGATTGCAATGGAGAAGTTGTTGATCTTCCTGAAGACCGGGCAAATAATGTCTCTGATGTTATAAATGGATTTGCCTCTGAAGCTTTGAGAACTCTTTGTTTGGCTGTCAAATATATAGATGAAACCGAAGGGGAAATCAACATCCCTGATAGCGGCTATACTCTAATAGCCATAGTAGGAATTAAGGATCCTGTACGCCCTGGGGTTAAGGAAGCTGTTCAAACTTGTTTAGCCGCTGGAATAACTGTCCGCATGGTCACTGGTGATAACATACATACAGCTATAGCTATAGCTAAAGAATGTGGTATACTTACGGAGGGTGGTGTAGCCATAGAAGGACCAGATTTTCGTGACTTGTCTCCGGAGCAAATGAAGGATATCATTCCAAGAATCCAGGTTCTGATCTTATTGTAAATTCTGTGACTTTTAATTTTCTTGAAAGTTGAATTCCCCTTTACTTTATGGTGAAAAATAGGGGAAAACGAATATTTCATTTGACCCCTTTTTTATACTTATACAATGCAGAATTGATGACCTATTTATAAATTAATAAGAATTCTTTGAATTTGAAGAAGAAGAAAAAAAACAACTTCACTGACAATTATTTGTGTGGTCAGAAGAGTCCTCCAAATATTTTGGTCTTGTGTATTCATTTTAAATATTTTTCAATCTTTATGCTTAGACTTTTTTGTGTGCTTAATATGGTTTTAGGTGATGGCACGATCCTTACCGCTTGACAAACATAAGTTAGTAACCAATTTGAGGAATATGTTTGGTGAGGTTGTCGCTGTTACTGGCGATGGAACCAATGATGCTCCTGCACTGCATGAGGCAGATATCGGACTTGCCATGGGCATTGCTGGAACCGAGGTTTGTGTCTCTTATGTACTATGATCATTCTGAAAGTTGTTATTGGTTTCGTATAATTGCACTGTATTATGTTTTAAGTCATTAGATGTTCTCTTCTATTGTAGTTATATTATATATTTCTCTGCTCTATACATTTTTCCTTCCTTTCTTGTCCGTCCTCCCCTCTTCTGTTTAGAAACGCAAATTATATCTTCTTCCTTAAATTAGTATAGACTCTCTATTGCACAGTCTTACTTCTCATATTTAGACTTAGAACTATTTTTTGAGGTATCTTTTTTAATATTAATGACTCTTTGATGCAATCGATATCTAATAACATTTTTTTTTTCTTTGGAAATTAATACCGTTTACAGGTTGCCAAAGAAAAGGCTGATGTCGTTATAATGGATGATAACTTCACGACTATTATCAATGTTGCCAAATGGGGACGGGCAGTGTATATAAACATTCAAAAATTTGTGCAGTTTCAATTAACAGTGAATGTTGTTGCTCTGATTATCAACTTTTTTTCTGCATGCATCACTGGTTTGTTGGCTTATAAAATTTTATTCCCATTTAAATTATGTTTAATTTGTTTCAAGGAACATTTGTAATTGTCGTCTTTTTACTTTCAGGATCTGCTCCACTCACAGCTGTGCAGTTGCTTTGGGTCAACTTGATTATGGACACTCTGGGTGCATTGGCCCTGGCTACTGAACCTCCTAACGATGGACTTTTGCAAAGACCCCCAGTTGGAAGGGGAACAAGCTTTATCACCAAACCTATGTGGAGGAATATCATTGGTCAAAGTATATATCAATTAATTGTACTTGCGATTCTAAATTTTGACGGGAAGAGGCTACTCAGAATTAGTGGTTCAGATGCAACTGAAGTGCTCAACACTTTGATATTCAACTCCTTCGTATTTTGCCAGGTATGCTCTCCATATACTGTGCTTGCCCATATTGTATATATAATAGGCAAATGCGGATTAAAAATAAGAAAGTATTAAATGAAAAGTACAAATTTTTTAATTTTAATGAATTTCATGATTGAAAGGTGATGAGTTCGAATCCAGGAAACAGCCTCTTTGCAATTATGCAAGGGTAAGGCCGCGTACAAGGATTACCTCCGTCCCACACTCACTAGTCGGATTTAACAGAGAGTGGTAAAAATGTTCCTTCATGATTGAAAGGTCATGGGTTTGAATCCAGAAAACAACATCTTTGCAATTATGCAAGAGTAAAGTTGCGTACAAGGATTTTCTTTACCCCACACTCACTAGTCGGGTTTAACGGGGAGTGATTATTATTATTTTTTTAATGAATTTCACGTATTTTTTATCTGTAGTACGGCACTCACGATAACGTATACCACTTATTTAGTTTGCTGTTTTCCATTTGTGTCTCTATTTTTTTTTTCCAGGTCTTTAATGAAATAAACAGCAGAGATATTGAAAAGATAAACATATTCAGAGGCATGTTTGACAGCTGGATTTTTTTGTTGATAATATTTGCCACTGTGGTATTTCAAGTGGTCATAGTTGAATTCCTGGGAGCGTTTGCCAGCACCGTGCCTCTAAACTGGCAAATGTGGTTACTCAGTGTCTTAATTGGAGCTGTTAGCATGCCTATAGCTGCTATCCTCAAGTGCATCCCAGTTGAAAAAGATACGAGTAAGCACCATGATGGTTATGAGCCACTGCCTTCTGGTCCCGAGCTGGCGTAAAATATTACAAGATTATGATACCGTTTTCCTTTACTTGTCTTTTGGGTAATGAATAATGAATATTTGTTTTTTTTCTTTTTCCTATTTTTTTTGGGAAACTAATCTCACGAAAAAACAACCGGATGAACATTGACAAGAACACCTAACCAAACTACCTTTTGATGAAAGAATTACCCGGGTTGCTTTGCTGATTTAACCTACTATTTTCCTTTTAGTGCTGTCATTTGTTACCTGTTATACGGCATTATAATTCTATATAGTTTTGTAAGGATTTGATACCGTGCGGGATTTCCAAGCATGGCGAAATGTCCATTATGAGCATATATGGTTGTTCGAAAAGGAATGTTTCTGAATATTAATACCAAAAGAACCACTTGTTTGAGTAGCACTTTCATTTGAGAAAAGTTTCGAACTTTTGCAAGTTGTAGTTCAGATAATTATTCTTAGTAAGTTAGAATTCATTAATTGAATCTTGTTATGTGAAACGTTGCACTGAAGTTTTCTTTTCTTTCTCTCTCTTTCTTGAAGGGCTACGTTGATAATGATAGTTGCCAAGTGCATTTTTGCATGTACAATATAATTTTAAACGTTTAATATTGAATAATGTATTAATGGTGTACCGTTGGAATCTATAAGTCCACTATGTTCCCTTTAGGGATAAGTCAATGTATGGATAATACCCTTAGCACAAGTATAGACCAAGCTAAGGAGTATGGTGCCAAGTACAAGCAAAGTAATCAATGGATAGCTAGGGAGATAAAATTACTCTAAGTAAATGGACAGTATAACGATACATAAGATGCTCTAGGGAGTGCCCTTGGGAGCTATTTATAAAGGAAGTTTGTGCTTACGGGTGAAGGTTAGTGGGGAGAAGGTCAACTCTCCTTGGGGCCATATGCTGATGGCAGTGTTGGGCGTGACAGGCGCTGCCATCGTAGCAGCGCTGTGCCTTCTGCGTCTAGCGGTGTTAGGCGTGACAAGCGCTGCCATCGTAGCAGTGCCTTCTGCGTCTGGCGGTGTCAGCATAGGTCACAGGGGGACAGTTTCCTCTTAAGGCATTTGGGCGACCGCTTTCGAGAGTTGAGGTCCTTAGGTGGGATACTTTGGTGTTTAGCCTTGGGAAGTTACCATATTGGGGGGTACGCGTCGCCCCAGCTGGTAGGGCTGACGTGGATGCTTGGTAGGTGCTGGGCTTTGACTATTAGGCCTGACTCTTGTTGGGCCATTCGGAACAAATGGTATATAGTGTCTACCTCTATTTCTTTCTAACTCATAATACATATTCAATTGTTATATAAATGATATTGATATTGAATATCAAACATTGAATATCAAACTCAACATAATCTTAAGTAAATTCAAACTTAATCTGAAATAATTTCTTCCGAGGCCTTCCTAAACCATAATTTCTTATACTTCAACTCATTCCAAAAAAATTATCGGTACTTTTACTTGGGACAAAATGTACGAGTAGTAAATAAATGTTTATGTGGTAGATACAACAGAATAACGTGATAAAATCACTTCCCTCGCCCCTACTCCTAAGTCCTAATCACGTTTCAAATAATCTTGTTCATATAAATAAACTACAATAAAATACAAGAATATGACAATCGGTGAATGTAAGAGATTGATTGTTCATCTTAACCTCCTTTTGGTTTCTCCATATGCAGCTACTCCCATTACAGTAATTGTGTAGCCACCCATGCCAATAAAAGTGACAGGGTTTCTGAATAGGAGTATTGAGATTACAACAGCTACAGCACCTTTTGCATTGCCTAATACCTGAGTAACATAATTTGAGAGGGAATTCATAGTATGAATTGCATAAAATAACAAAGCTAAGTTTGCAATAAGCACACTTGACATGCATTCTATTAAAACCCAAGGAAGCAACTTCCACAGCCAAATAAAAACCCAAGAATCTTCATAGAGTTAGGACCCTTTGTTTGAAAGTTTAAACATCTAATATGCTATATAAAATACAGATACAAGTCATTTTCAGTTTACCATTGAAGGTTTTAATAAGTAAAAAAAATGATGGTCTTCATTTTGCTTTTAGCGTTTAACTAATAAGTTCTCATAATTTCTAGTAGTATGCAAAAAGAGACAAACCTGGAGTGTCAGAGCACTTGTATGTTTAGTCACCAAGAAGTTTGTTAAGTTTGCTGCATATGCTGTGACTGAATTAAGCAAAAGAAGTAGCCACATAGATTTATTGTCCCTTCCAAGGGATATTGTGACATCTACAACATTTGGCTCCATGATAAGCGCTGCAGGCAACAGAACTAGGACCGCGATTGGAGACATATACAGCAGCAAGTTCATTGAGTTCAACTTTTCCCTGTTTAGTTGAAGTAGATGCAACATTATAAGCAGTGTACCATTAAAAAAAGGCTTATCCAATTTTGGTTTACCAAGAGTCCAAGAGATTATGGAGAGGGAGGGGGGGGACCACAAGTTCTGCTCATAGTCATATCAATATCGATAACTTGGAGTAACATAAAAATTTCTGATACTATTGCAAAGAAAAGAAAAAAATGATAAAGGATTCGTAAGTTGACCTGTAAGTACAAATAATTTAGCCAGAGTTTCAAAGTTAAGAAGGGAAAGAAACAGATAGTCTTTTTTTAATGTGGCTAGTTGTATTTGTACACAAAAAATAAATAAGCAGAAAGTATGTGCTTACAATAAAGTTAAGTATTAATCCTTTCCAAAAATTGAATCCATTCATTTGGATAATACAAGTGAGAAAGAGAGATGTTATATTAAAGGTTTAAAGACTCTTCGGACACAGTGATTCCACAATAGTGAAAGACAAGAACAGAGTTAAGTCAAAGTTTCGAAATGATGGTGTTTTAATCACACCATAAGCTCATTCACAACTACTCCTTTCCTATTTTATATATTTAAAAACCATCATATACCCTAAAATACAAACAGTATAAGAACTTCCATTGGTTAGCCAACTAAACCACGAAAATGTGATTATTTGTCCGGTTGGAAATTAAAGAAGGGTAAAGAGGTACAGAAAATGGACACAATCTGCTTGACAACACAGGCTATTTAGATCTAAAACCATCCTGGATTTCAATCACAATGAAGAAAAAAAATTGACTTTTAAGTAGTGTTATTTTTTGACTGCCTCCACTCAAGTAATAATTCTGACTCTCAAGATGTTGACTATTAAGATGAAGTATACTAAAGATGGGCATTCATTACTAATATTCAGTATCAACAAATTGACTCAACATAACTAAAAGAGCTTGCTGAAGAATAGTTCAATCAGAACCAGGTATTAATATAAAAAGGAAACTTACCCAAATGACTTATATGTAAATAAGTACAAAGCGTAAAAAATAATAAAAAGTTTAAGCAAGAAACATCAGGATGTTAGAACTTTCTTTTTCTTTTCCAATTGTACAACAACAATGTGGAGGAAACAAAAGAAAGAAAAGAATGTTCCTCAGGTAGCAGTGTTCCGCCAGCTCATCTTTCATGCATCAAGTAATTATGATATATCAACATGTTTAATTACACAAGTTAGAAAAGGGTATCTATTTTTCCCCAAATGATTTTTAGCTCTTAAAAGTGTAGTTTGCAGAAAAATGTAAATTCGAAAAGATTTTCATTTTTCTCACATATCAAAAATGGGATTCAAGGAACATGTCAGTTTCTTTCAAATGTTAAACCTGAGCAAGCAATATCAGCAACACAACTTCAATTAGACAGTTACAAACTAATAATACCTATAAAGATTTTAAAACATATGTTCTTCTACCCCCCAAAAAATGTTCTAGAGAATACTTATACGCCATTCACAATAACTAAATATTTTCAGCCAATATGATTTAGGCACTTAATCACTTCACGACCTGTGCTACTGATCAATTGCATAAGACCTAATGATAAGTTTCATTAGTTGCAAATACCTTAAGAACATTTTAACCAATAACAATATTGAAAAACCCATGAGTCATGACATTGTATCTTCCACATGCAGTACAAGTAACAAATTCCTGAAACATTCTAAGTAGGTTGTTTCCCATGAAAAGTAAGTTTAGACAGCTAGTTCCATGTTAATATACACGTTCTGGTTTCAAACGAACACTAATACAAATAAGGTGAGGGAATACCTATTGCATAGCAGATTTCAGTAATCCTAACTTTTTAGCTGGGAAGTTTTAGAAGTTATATGACAAAGAGGAAGTTATAAATCATAGAAATAGTTTAAGATATTTTACCCTTCAGAAGAAAGTAAAATGCTCTGAAGAACAGACTTGAAAGCTCTTGCAGCAGTTGCACTTAGACACATAATGAATCCAAATAAGTGAAAGCCTGGCTCGCCCTGCCATCACCAAGAAAATCTTGTAGCTCATAGAAGCAAAATGAATAAACAGAGGGAAAATGGGAAGGAAATATGCACCAAGCAGGTCCAAAGGAACTACAATTCCTTGCCAGTCACATAATAAATTATTAAATTATAATATGGTCCTAAGAAAATACACAGAATGCCACGATAGTTGAGAGTAAATAATGAAAAAGAGCCTGATTCATGACAAGTTTTAGGCGAGATATTATATATATGAGGAGGAATATTCTTACTACCAAAAAAATCCACTACCTATCTAATCACCATTGGTTTAGCATTTTCTCCCTCTTCAGAAACTTTTCAGCATTCTCTCTATGAATTCAATGGTGATTAGATAGTTAGTGGGTTATATATATATATATATATATATATATATATATATATATATATATATATATATATATCTCGCATGATTAGATAAAATGACATGATTGGTCAAGCAAATAAAGCTAGTTGATTAAAAAATACCCAAAAATCTGGCTATCTGATATAAGTTAATAAACTAGAAAAGTGCAGATCCCAAAAAAAAGAAGAAAAAGACAACAGAGAGTAATGTTTCTTCCTCCAAGAAGCATCCATTTTTCCTCATGTACTGGAATTTCTTCATCCAATTCATTTTGGGAAGAAAAAAGAGAAAAAAAAAAAAAAAAAAAAAAACTCCAATTGTCCTAGATTTTCAGTTCTTGTAAAGTATAGATCTCATTAACTACCAAGAAGGATGCAGTTATAAAAAATAAATTGCTTATGTTTCCAACAATCACAGATCAGCTAAATTGCACAAACAACCACCAGCTAATCTGTTCAACAGGATTCAGATCTGGAATGACATTTGGGATATGATGTAGCATTGACATGTAAATCAAAACTATATATTTATGGATAATTACACGAACTGACACAAATATCATTCACACATCAATATGAACCAATAAAGATACCTATTTCATATGATCATTCACAACAAGAAAATCCTCACGACATAACAATATAAATCAATTGAACGGAATAAAATTATAGAAGATTCCATGAAAACAAAAGAAAAACATACCCCACTAGCAATCACAACCCCAGCAACAACAGGGACAAGAGCACCATATGTGACCCAAGCTTCTCGTTTAAGGGTAGCCAAATAGGCAAACACAGCAGTGAAGAAAGGTGTGGTTGCACCCACAGCTTGGTTAAAGGAAACAGCAAGGTACCTGAGGGAGATGTTACCCCCCACAACAGACCCACAAAAAACAATGCTCAAAGTTGCAATCTTTATGAACTGGGACCTTGATTTGATCATCTGTTGAGGCACAACCTTGAAGAACACAATAGAGACATAGCTGAGAACAGCACAGGCAGACATGTGACACATTGTGAGGAAGATTGGGAACTTGAACCCATAATTTGAAAGAAGGTACTTGTTGAGAAGGATCACACCAATGTTTGATGAATACCAAAGGGTCACAAGAAAACAGATGAAAAGGTTCTCCTTGTTGTTAAAGGACATCATCTTCCCTTGTCTCCCACCACTTCCTCCCTGCATTTGGAAATTGCACATGAACATGTCATCATGTTTAACATTAAAAAAAAAATGTCTCCTTTTTTTTTGTACATTTGTTTATTTACTTACCCCACTTTCTTTCCCTGTGCCCTTTGTTTCATTTTCAAATGATGCTTTGGATCTCATGTTGTGAGAAGCATGTGTGCTCATTGAAACTTTTGTTGGTGTCTCTGCAAACGGGAGAAAAGAAAAAGAATGATAGATAGATAGATAGGACCCTGTGCTTTTGTTTGTGGAACTATTAACAATGAGGTTTTTTTTTTATTTAAAAAAAAAAAAAAAAAAACTGCTATTTGTTCTTATTTACATCCACTCAACAAATAGTGATGAATATTAATCAAAGATTGTGAAATAGAATTAACTCAGATTTTGTTGAGATGCTATTGCTAATGAGGCAAGTAGCACCAAATTAGAGGAAGTGCTATTTATAGTAAGTTTTTTTCGTTTGACATTTTCAAGGAATCGTCATCCTTGAAAGTAGTAATCACTAATTTACAACAATATCAATTTATTAGGAGATGAAATCTTGGTGTGTAAAAATTGTATTTGTTTTTTATAAAAAAGGAAAGAAAATAAAGAAAATAAGGTTTGTTTGATTCTGTTTTGATTTTTTTTTTTCTTAAAACTGTTTTGTAAAACAGTTATTTTCTATATATATTTTTTTGAAAGTTAAAAACAAAAATAGAAAACAAAAACAACTCAGATATGTTCTCTAAATTTGATTTTAAAAACAAAAAAACAGTTATAGTTTTCAAAATATTTTTTACAAAACAGGAGTTGTCAAACGAGTTTTTTAGTTTTTTTTTTCTGAAAACTAAAAAACTGTTTTCCAAAATAGAAGTAGAAACAATATTTTGAAATTGAATTTCAAATCATTAAATCAAATAAAGCAAGTTATTGTTGTTTCGTGAATATTTGATTAATTTGAAATGGAAGAGGATCTGATTTGTGAGAGGTGTCCTACTCCTACACATTATATCCATGGTCCTTCAAGTACCAGATTCCCACCTTAAAGTTTGGATGGGTGTAAACTGTAAAGTATTCCTGATTTTTGGGGTGTTTTCCTTGTTTTACTTCTTACTTTTTTTTATTTATTTATTTATTTATTTATTTATTTTTTGTGCTAATAATGAGTGATTTAATAATTAAATAAATAAAGGTTAAACGGCAATAAGTAATGGGAATTGAGATCTGTTGCGTTGCGAATGTGAAGAGCGGTGCAAGGCGACACGTTGGAAATTAAACGACAAAGATTCGAACACTTGTCATCTAACCTCATATTTAATTGATTGCGTTTCAAACGTTATTCCCAACCGATGGCGCATAATAAGGAGTCGTTATCACCACCGACACTTTCATAGTTAAAACGCCTTTTTTTTTTTCATACTAAGATTTTTATCCTGCTCATATATTTGATGTTTATCAGTATCTTATATGGATTTTATAAGAGTTATGTTGGAGGAAAAGTGATCGTGTAATGTTATAGAGATTCATTTTGCGTGCCTTAATTTTTTATTTATTTTTTTGTTTTAAAAAGTGTAGGCCCACAAAATATTATGAGAGTAGAAAAATTTGTTGTGTTAGGTTAAAGAATAAAACAAAAACCCATCTTATATACAAGATATCATTTGTACCATAGGATATGATTCACATGATGCTTAACAATATGTATCGTAGGATATATTGTAGAGAAATTATATCGGACAATACAATATTATATCGTATATTATATGATATGAAAATTGTTATGGAATATTTTCATATCCTAACCACCTACCTAAGGATCCCTTAAAGGATAATTCTCCAATTCTTCTAACAATATAAAACAGTAAGGCAGTTAAGAATAGAGTCTCTATCTCAACAGAAATGAAGTTAAATCCTACTACAACTAGGAGATCTACACAAGCCCAAGAGGTAACCCTTATAAATAAGAGGTTAAAGACCTCAGGTATACAGTCTGAACTCATTTACTACTTCTGCCCACACTGTGCACACACCCACGTCTCGGCTATAAGCCTATTGTTTGTGCGCAATGATGGGGATTTTGGCTATAAACCAACCAAGATACATATCTATAGGATATCTCTGAGCGCATACCCTTATCATTATACGGTTTAATAGAATTGAACAAAAATAAATTAAAATATATAATTTTTAATATAAAAGAAAAGAAATAATAATTTGTGATTTAAATTCAAAAAAAATCTACAAAAATAATTATTAATAAGAAAAAAATAAAGATTTGATTTGTAATTGTTGTCAATGTGAAAATTTTGTATTAATAAAGAAAATAATTAAATAAATATATTTTTATTTTTAATGTCCCTGAAATCTTAAAGCCGCTAGGAATGATAAAAGTAAAGGCATCATCATACAAAAATAAAATAATATAATTGGCTTGATATGCTAAATGATATTACCAACAAGAATGATAAGGGAACGACTTCAAATTGTTGAATAAGAAACAAGAGATGAATCAAATAATTACACTAATGAAGAGTATAATAGATTAATTATGTTACTTATAGATGATAGTGATAAATCTTAAGCAATTAATTAATCATGCATATGATTATAAAACACCAAATAATAATAAATCAGACCAAATAATAATAAATCAAAGTTATAATTGTGTGTACCTTGTTGGGCATTACAAAGTCGGATAAAAGCTAGAGAAGACGAGGGAACAAGATGCTAGAGTCTTTCTCTCTATTACCTATTCAAAAGTTGGCAGCCTTCAGCGATGGGAGCATAATGGCTCATGGAGCTTATCTCCAATATAAATAGGCTAGAGAAGGGACTTAGCCAATTATCCAGAAAAGATTTTGTATCCACTGGGTCCACCCATCATGAAAAATCAGGGTCATACTAAAGCCTACGTGCCCAACTAGGCCCAATAACAACAGATACCAGAAGCTCAATTCAATATGATCAGAGCCAGTTACAATAATAATATTAGTTTTAAAATACAAAACTAATTAATCAATATTGCCCACAAAAAATAAAATTTCTAACATTCTTTCACTTGGGCTATATTAATTAATTTAATATTATTTTAAAAATCATTTTATTTTGAAAATGACATTGTCGGGTTAATAAATAAAAAATAATTTTACGTTGCCATAATTTTGAAAAGCAATATTCCAATTCCAGCATCTCAAAATGATTCAATCTAACATAACCCCATCATAAGAACATGGCGATCAATATACCGAAAATGTGACACGTGTTTTACTTTTGTCAAATCATTAATAAATAATTTATTTTAAAATTAGGTAAGAGAGTGATTTAATAAAAAGTAAGTCACGTGTCACATTATGAATGGAAGCACCGAAAACTCAATACATCCGTAGCATTGGAGATATTCTCGTGTATAGGAAATAAAACTATCTCGTACAATATGATAAACATAAAACCCATAAATAATAGGAAAAATATTGTTATTTTAAAATATATAAGTTTGTATCATTTTATGTAAAATTACTGTATTTTGGTTATTTTTTAACTTCTCTCTAATTCACAATACTCTCACTTTCTTTCTCTCTCTTTTTGGAGTTAACCCAACCATAATTATATTTTTGAGGCGAGTTGACTCCCCCGATATTCGCATAAGCTTTGACTTTTTGAGCCAGTTATGAGTCTAATTTGGAGTGCGGGGCAGGTCAAGGATAAAAATATTTAAACTCCTTCCAAAGGTGGCATATGAAGATCGAACAAAGACCATTTTCTTTCCACATACTTAGTTCCCTTGCTACCATCATTTGGTAGGCTCTTTGACCCATTTGGGATTTTTATCCCTTTAATTTACGAATTTGGTATTTGGTTTATGATATTTACGAATGAGGGTCATTTAGTGACACGAGGGGGTCCCAGCGTCACTGAGTGTCGCACCCCACCCCCACGACACTTACACATCTTTTATTTATTTTTAATTTTTTTCAATTGAGTGACGCCATCTCTCCCGGGGAACTCTCAGGATTGTGCCACTCGTTAATCCTGTCACCGTAAAACTTTGAAAGACCATAACTTTTGACTCGGGTATTCAAATTAGATAATTTTTTTTTATTTCACATAACTTTTCGAGATCTACGCAATGACATCTCATTTGACATATTTTATCTTTCATTAACATAGTTCAAATTTGCAAAAATAATTCCATTTTTTTTCAAATGTGAACTATGTTTGTGAGAGACAAAATATGTCAAATGAGGTGTCATTGCGTAGATCTCGAAAATTTATGTGAAATCAAATAAAAAATCATCTGATTTGGATACCCGAGTCAAAAGTTATGACCTTCCGAAGTTTTACGATAACAGGACTAATGAGATTGTGCCACTTGGCACAATCATGTGAGTTGCCCCCAAGGGAGGGGGCGTCACTCAATTAAAAAAATAAAAAATAATAAAAGAAGTGTAAGTAACGTGGGGTGGGTTGCGGCACTTAGTGATTTCAGACCCTCACGTCACTAAATGATCTCCATTCTAAATATCATAAACCAAATACCAAATTCGTAAATTAAAACTCAAGAAAACCCCAATGGGTCAAAGAGCCTCGTCTGCTCTCAGTTTCTTTCTCCTCCTAATTTTGTGGATGTGAGAGAATATAAAAAAACACTAAGCATGCATCAAAATACAAAACAATGTAAGTTTACTTAAAAGGTTTTATAAGAGTTATGTTGTAAGAAAAGTGATTGTGTAATGTTATAGAGATTCGTTTTGCGTACAGTAATTTCTTTTTTTTCTTCAAAAAGTGTGGGGCCCACAAAATGTTGTGTGTGTAGGAAAGTTTATTGTGTCATGTTAAATGACAATTGCAAACCCCTTAATTAGAATGATATAAACTTTTTTTTTTGGTACATTGCCAGGAGGTATCCTCATTCAACCTTCTCCGGGCACCATGCCCTCAGGGTACGGCCCGTTTGGGCTAGCCCCTCATTGTAACAGTGGGTGCACTAAGCTTCGCAACCGGAGAAAGGACGAGACTAATCCCCCAACCGAAGATTTTTTGGCTTATCCTCTGGCCCCCAAAGATTTTTCAAGAAACTGCTTGAGGCAGGGTTTGATCCCTGCACCAAGCAATCTCTTGGGAGCTCAGCTGCCAACTGAGCTACCCTTGGGGGTTAAATGATATAAACTTATATCTTTAAAATG